ATGGAAGACAGAATTAGTGAGATTGAAGGCAAATACCTGAACACTTCTTTGGAAAGGGATGAATCAGAAAAATGATCAAAACAAAATGAAGAAAGCCTAAGGTTCATGTGGAATACCATCAAAAGGAATAACCTATATGTAATTGGAGTTGCAGAACAGGAACAGACAAATAAAACCACAGAGAAATTTGTCAAAGATTTGTTGGAAGAGAATTTTCCTGGTATGATGAAAGATGAGAATATATCCATTCAGGAAGTCTAACAAACCCCAAACAAGATGGATCCCAAAAGAAAATCACCAAAATATATCATCATAAAACTCACCAAAACAAAGAAAGAATCGTGAGAACAGCATGGGAAAAACAAAAAGTTACCTACAAGGGGCAACCAATAAGACTGAGCTCGGATTTCTTAACAGAAACCATGCAGGCGAGAAGACAATCGGATGGTATATATAAAACTCTGAAAGAGAAGAATTTCCAACCAAGAATTATGTACCCTGCAAAATTGTCCCTCAAATATAATGGTGAAATTAGGAAATTTCCAGATAAGCAGAAATTAAGGGAATTTGTTAAAACCAGACCAACTGTACTGTACAAGAGATGCTAAAGGGAGCCCTTTGGACAGAGAAGGAAAAACAGCCAACAACAACTGACCATTAATACACATGATGACATAACTCAGAATGACCATTAACACACATGATGACATAACTCAGAAACCAACCCAGCTATGGAAGTATCCAAAGTAAATAAGCCTGCAAGATTGTGAACAGGGAACCAGAGACATCAATTGACAAATGAGAACAACTACAAACCAAAGAGAGGGAAAAAAATGTGTCATTACAGAACTTCTAGATAATAGGGAAGTCACGACAACTGCAAGATAGAATGGACTGTCCTGAACTTGGGAAGAAAACTATAAATCACAGGGTAACCTCAGAAAAATGATAAACCTTCACATCAAAATAAAAAAGAGGACCAGCACAAATATTTAGCAGATACTAAAACAATAGCAACGAAGGAAGTGATAACATGATTCATAAAGAAAACAAGCTCAGCAAAGAAAATTATATAGGACAAAGAAATTGACACCACAAAAAAGCACATAACAAAAATTACATCAACAAATTCCTATTTGCCAATAATTACGTATCTGGCAAGGGACTTACTTCTAAGATTTATAGAAAACTCTCAATACCTCAACACCAAAGGAATTAACAATCCAATTGAAAAATGGCCAGAAGGAGGCTATTCATGTAGCCAGCAAATACTTGAAGAGATGCTCACAATCATTGACCATAAGAGAGATGCAAATCAAAACAACGAGATACCGTCTCACCCCAGCACTGATGGCAAGGTTCAGCGAGACAGAAAATAACAAATACTTATTGGGATGTGTAGAGATTGGAACTCTCATACACTGCTGGTGGGACTGTGAAGGGATTCGACCACTGTGGAAAGCAATATGGCGATTCCTTAGAAAGCTGGAATTGGAGATACCATTTGACCCAGCAATCCTATTACTAGGTATGTATCCTAGAGAGGTGAGAGCCAGGACAGGGACGGATATATGCACACTCATGTTCATCACAGCACTATTTACAGTAGCAAAAAGATGGAAACATGCCCATCAGCAGAAGAGTGGATGACCAAACTAGTACATACACATACTGGAATGCTATGCAGCACTAAAGAATAATGTAGACTCTGCAAAACAC